CCACCTTCTCAAGGGCAACTACGGACATGCAATAAATGTTCATCCAGAAATAAATCCAGTGAATAAAAAAAAGACAGGTGTGCAATTATAAAACACCTTTCACGGTCTTGGGATGCCCCAAAGAGCATTTTCCTTTTTTGCTATTTTTTAAATCAAGTTGTTCAGAGATGTTATTACAGACATCTGGGGCAGGTACAGCCCAAAGATGTGCAGGCTAGGTGGACTGGGCATGCTGAATAACCCCATGGTGTCTAGGGAAATGCAGGCTAGATGGGTGAGACAGAGGAAATGCAGGGTTACAGGGACAGGGTAGAGGGTAGATCTGGGTTGGATGCATTTCGGAGAGCCGGTATGGACTCAATGGGCCGGATGGCCAGCTTCCACACTGTAGGGATTCTAGATGGGACTTGAACTTGCGTTTCCTTTTCCAGAGGTAGGGACATTACCGCTGCACCACAAGAACACTCATACCACCTCCCCCCACCAAAGAGCATTTTATTAAAAAATTCAGTCACAGAATGCAGCTGTCAATGGTAAGAACAACATTTATGAACCATCCTTCGCTGCCCTCGAGGCTGAGCTGCTCTTTCAACCACTTGGTGAAGGTACTCCCACAATGCTCCTGGCAAGAGCATGCAGGATTTTGACACAGTGATGATAAAGAAGCAGTGATCTATCCACAAGGCAGGATTGGGAGATGGTAGCACACCCTTCCATCCCTGCCCATTGCTGCAAATACAGCAGCCAACACCTATTGGTACCAGCGGATGATACTGACCCAGGATACTCGACACTCGACACCAATGGAGACAAACTATCTGGTCATTAATGCACTGCTGTTTGTGGGATCGTCCTGTGCATCAATTGATCGCCACGCTTCCTACAGTCAGAACAGCTACTGCAACTCATCTGGCCAGAAGACATGACCTGACGCACGACAGAAATGCAACTTTTTTCTGTCTTTTGCTGGCAAGCAAGGTGACAATACCACAAATTTTGCAAAATGATTCATCATCTAGATGCCCTCCCCCACTCCCTGACCCATCTCCCATGGGAGTGACAGATAATGCCTTCTGCTCGGTTTCCACGATCTGACCAGCTGCCAGCTGAGACAGAAGATTCGTCACAGCAGGAGCCTTCACATCAAACCTGGGGGGCTCCTACGTGATGGGACAGGTTCTTACTGCGCCACTGCCAGAATGCCTTTAAGTAGAACTGAGCTGTACTCAGTCTGACACTATGCGGTGTGGCTAAGTCAAAGGAGTCACAAGTCTGGCTCAAGCATTTCAGATCACCCAGAAAACACATCAACAACAAACCATCAATAAAACTGCAGTCCAAAGTACTGCGGCTGCTGGGAATCTCTGTTTAGACAGGGGGATGGGGAGGGATGAGAATTGCTGGGAACACACTCCCTCATCTGCGGAGTCAGGGAACAGATGTAGCTGCCCCACTGCGCCTGCCTTGCATTTTCGACTCTTAGAGAAGTAGTGAAGTTCAGCACTGCACTACGACCATGAGGCGAAAGAAATAGGAGCAGGGGTAGGCCATTCAGCTCCTCGAGCCTGATCCGCCATTCAATGGGATCATGGCTGATCTGACATTCATGTCCACTTTTCCCGTAACCCTTGATTCCCTGACTGATCAAGGATCTGGCTGTCTCAGCCTTAAGTATCCATGAGCACTCTATCCCCAAAGCTCTCTCTGTTGCAGGGAGTTCCAAAGACTCTCAACCCTCTTAGAGAAGAGATTCCTCCTCATTTCAGTCTTACATTTGCACCCTTTTATTCTGAGTCTGCGCCTTTCTGGTCCTAGGCTGTCCCATGTGGAGAAACATCATCTCAGTTGTACATCTTTCAAAATTAAGGCTTTGGGGGACTGGAAATGAATTTGAGCAGGGATGGCTAACCAGCCAGATTGGAATATGTCATTCCCTAATACAACACATGACCAATCTTCAATGGTGCTGAAGTCGGGGAGCATTCCAGCCCACTGTCACCCTTTAAAAACCCTCCCACTCAGTTGATCCTTCCCCTGTATCTCTCTTCAATTCCCCGAGTGTGCCTGGCCAACTCCACTCCTCAACAAGTCCACACTCATTACATTCTACAGGCATACATGGAGAACTAGGAGCAGGAGTAGGCCTTTGAGCTCACCCTGTCGTTCAGTAAGATCATAGCTGAACTGACTGTGGAATGAAAGTGGTTAGGGCACCATGCGTTGTCAGTGAGATGCAGCATGTACCTTTAAGATAACAGATCCAAACACTATCATTAGGGATGTCCTAAGAATGATTCCCTGCTGTTTCCATGACTCAGTACTGGCATGAAACTCCCAACTCAGAGATAAAAAAGGAGCAGGATCAAGACAAAGTTTTTTTTTGCCAGAATGACGAGTCAAACCTACTTCTCTGAGTCCCTTTGACCTGTACAAGAGTGGTTCAGAACAAGTTTCAATTTTACAATGGAACTTATGGCAGTGGATTATTATTTCTCTCATCATTCCATGTGACCAAATATTACCTGTATGAGTATATATATATAATATATAAATATTATATCAGGGAGTCACCCCTAACCTGTATTGGGGGAGGGAAAAAGAAAGTGACAGAGCGAGTGCATTACTGCTTCAGGTCTGTGACCTTTCATCAGCACTGGGCAGTGCACAGAAATGAAACCTTAAGGGTTAATTCTGAGTCAGTACTTGAGTCTACCTGAAACCTCTCTCCAGGAAGAGAAGGCAAGGAGGAGACACCATGAAGCTCTTTAAAATTATAAAAGGGGTTTGATATTATTTTTACACGTTGTAGGGAGGAAAACCTGGGGGGAAGGTGGGGTAAACGGGGTGTCATAAATATACAGTAGTCACCATTGATTTCGATAGTGAATTCACAAGCAAGTTGCACACTCCAGAGTGGTTAGAATGTGGAAATTGCAGCACAAGGAGCAAGTGAAGTGAATAGTACAGAGGCATTTAAGGGAAAACTAGGTAAGTGCATGAAGGAGAAAGGAATGGGAGGATATGCCGATCGAGTGAAATAAAGAGGGATAGGAAATGCTAGCGTGGAGCTTGCATAGACCAGCAGGAGAGTCAGTCAGTCTGCTATGGTTTCCATCAACTTTTCCACCCGACTAATTTGACCAATCACTGCTCCAAGATGTTACTTTTCAAATCAATGCATTTGCTGAACTGAAGAGTTCCTGTCCCCACCTGTGGCCCAACAGTACACCACTCCATATCAAAAAACAGCAAATAAAAGGAAGAAATGCAGATGCACCACACCATCAGAGCTGACCTGACTCAACAAGCTGAAGTTCAGCAGATTTTGATCACCACTTTCGACAAAACACAACTACTGGATGGTAAGAGACCAAATCTTTTGCCTGACACTCCACCATATTTAAAATTGCAATCACACTTCTCAGCGAACACCTGCCGGGTCCATAGTAATTATATTTCTGAATATGTCAGAACTGTAGACAACCAAAGAACAAACACATTGTCTAGAGCATTCATTTTTGTTCACTTGCTGAATAGACAGAAAGTTATAAATAAAAACAGAAATATATCATTCAGCCAAGCCAGTGATTAAGCTCCACTCAACAGCCCTCCTACTTTTCCACATCTAACTCAATCACTGCATCCCTGTATTTCCTTCTCCCTCATCTGTTTGTCTAGCTTTCCCTTACGGCATCTATATGACTCATTTTAACCACTCCCTGTGAGACAGGACTCCACCTTCTCACCGCGCTCTCGAGGTAAGGAGGTCTCTTCACAATTTACTTACTTTACCAGCTACAATGGACTTGCCTCAGCCTCTCCAGCCCAACTTTCCCTCTTCCTCTCTTTGTTCTCTCACCACTCGCAGCTCAGTTATCAGAACCACAGAGTCATTACAGGACAACATGAGGCCTCACTCTAAAGTAGTCCAGTTCAATCCCTCTCTTCACCCTGTAGTCCTGCAAGTACATTATTCTCAAGTGCCTTTTGAAATCATTGATCACCCCCGCTTCGATGAACCGTATTGGTACGACTTCCAGATTATTAACACACATGGTGTAAAAAGGTTATTCACATTCCCCTGCATTTCTGGCCTAAGACCTCAAATCTGAGTCCCCTTGTCCCTGTACCATCAGCTGAAAGGAGCATTATTTCTATGTCTCCCTTATGGAAACCTGTATAGGAGTTTAGTTAGACTGAACCTCGATTATTGTGTGCAGTTTTGGTCTCTTTACCTCAGGAAAGAGACTGTCACAGAGAGAATGCAACAAAGGTCCACCAGATTTGTTGCCAGGATTGTCTGGTGAAGAGAGAGTGGAACAACTGGGCCTGTAGTTTCTGGAGTTTTGCAGAATTGGAGACAATCTCATTGAAACCGACAAAATGCGCAAGGGAATAGACAGGGGAGATGCAAGTTTCCCCTAGATGAGAAGTCGAGAACGAGAGCCAAAATTTAAAAATAAGAAGAACACCATTTAGCTCCAAGACGAGGAGAATTTTTTTTAAATCAGAGGTTTATGAATCCACCCCAGAGGAGAGTACTTAAGAGTTGATAATTGTTTTGATCACCGATGGTATGAAGAGTATGGGATAGTGGGGGTAAAAGATATTTAAGTGGATTATCAGCCATGATAATTTTCAATGGTGAAGCAGACTCGATGAGCTGAATGGCCTACTCCTCTTCCTATGTCATGATCTCTACACCTCTTATGAAATCTCCTTTCAATCTCATTAACTCCAAGGAAATGTGGTCCAAGGCTTACATACTGGAGTTCTCCCTCCCCAAACTTCTATTCCTGCAGCACACCTTCAAAAGTCCCCTTTCACGCACTCTCTCTCTGACCACATCGTCTGCCACAGTCCTTCACTTCTCCAGGCTTACTCAAATCGAACCTCCTGCTGTGAAGCCCACAGACATATTACAACACACTAAGGACCCTGTAATTATGTACAATCGCTCTCGGTCTGGTCAAACATTATGTTATGATCTGAAAACTCACAAGCAGAATTTCGCTGTCTTCCTCAATGTTTCCTTTCCACTCGTATCTGAAGGGGAAAATAAAAAAAATTATGCAACCAAATGTACATATATGCAAATTAAACCTCCATTGCCACAATGGAAAATAATCTCACATTTATGGAGTATCTTTCACCACTTGAGGATGTCTCAAAGCAGTTGACAACCATTGAAGTACTTTTCAAAGTATGAATAATTTGTAATGCAGGAAATACGACAGCTAATTTGGTCACAACAAGCTCCCACAAGACAGAACGGGGCAATGACAAAAAACAGTAAACTTCCCTGAATCTGGCACACAAGGAGAATTAGATTCATAGAGTTGTACAGCTTGGAAACAGATCCTTCAGCCCAGCTCGTTCATGCTGACAAGATATCTGAAATTAATCCAATTCCATTTGCCATCATTTGCCCCATGTCCCCCTAAACCCTTCCCAATCATATACCCATCGAGATGCCTTTTAAATGTTGTAATTGTACCAGCCTCCACGACTTCGTCTGGCAGCTCATTCCATACGTGCACCACCCTGTGCGTGAAAAAGTTCCGCTCAGGTCCCATTTAAATCTTTCCCCTCTCACCTTAAACCTATACCCTCTAGTTTTGGACTCCTCTACCCTGGGAAAATGAAAGATCTTGGCTATTTACCATGCCTCTCATGATTTTATAAACTTCTATAAGGTCACCCCTCAGCTTCCAATGCTCCAGAAAAAATAGCCCCAGCCTATTCAGCCTCTCCCTATAGCCCAAACCCTCCAACCCTGGCAACATCCTTGTTAATCTTTTCTGCACCTTTTCAAGTTTAACAACATCTTTTCTATAGCAGGGAGACTGGAATTGAACACAGTATTCCAAAAGTGGCTTAACCAATGTCCTGTACAGCCACAACACGATGTTCCAACTGCTATACTCAATGCATTGACCAATAAAGTCAAGCGTATCAAACACCTTCTTCACCACCCCGTCAACCTGCAACTCCACCTTCAAGGAACTATGAACCTGCACTAAGGGGGGATGTCGGTGCTGAACACATGAATGTACAGGCCTGCAGGCAGGACCACTCATAAATATGATCAGCAAGATATGATCGAGAGAGAGAGGGAGAGAGAGGGAGGGAGAGAGAGTAAAAACAGAAGGCACAGGGAAATTTACTTTAATCTGTTTTTTGCAGTTTTGATTAAAGGTTAAATATTAGCCAGGACACCAGGGATATCTCTCCTGTTCTTGAAAATAATGCCACTTCATCTTTCCCGTTCACCTGAGAGGAACCTTGGCTGAAGAGTTCATTCAAACAGTGACAGTGCAGCACTATATCGGAGGGTCACCTTGAATTGTGTAAATCCCTTTAATGGGTCAAAACATTTGGATCCTCCTCAGACAATCACGTCATACAGGTGAGCGTCTATTCGATTCACTTCAAGGTGGTAGTGAACTGCCCTCTTGAATGCAACTCAGTGGCTTGCCAGGTCATTTCAGAGATCAGTTAGGAATCCCCCACATCGCTGCGGGTCTGGAGTCACATGTGAAGACCGAGAAGATTCCTTCACCGAAAGAACATCAGTGAATGAAGCAGGTTTTTTGCAATGCCCAGTGGTTTCACAGTCACTATTACTGAGACTAGCTTTTTATTCAAGATTAACCTGACGAATTGAATTTAAATTCACCCAGCTACCTTGAGGGATTCTGAACCCATGGCCCACATTGTTTGTTTTGGCCTTTGGTCCACGATCACCATGCTACTGATCCATTGTCAGGGTACAGTATTTTGAAAGGACCTGTTTAACAGCACCGTGGGAGTGCTGATGCCCCACAGACTGTAGTGGGTGATGAGGGCAGCTCACCGTTACATTCTCATGGACGGTCAGGGATGGGCAATAAATGCTAGTGCTAGTGGCAATGTTCAAACCTCTTGACTGCATATGTGGAATAATCCTGCTGCAATGGAGTTCTATTAGTCTACCGGCAAATATCTACCTCTGAACCAACCAAAATTGATTAACTGATCACTTGTCTCAGGGCCTTGAATGGATGCCTGGGTGTCATTCAAGGTTAGATCAGCTAAAGTGGATGAAAGAAGTGGGGTCAAAGGGATAATGTGAGCTAAACAGGATGAAAGGTCATTTGATCGTGTGGTGTAGAAGTGCTGAACCGAGGCTGATCTTCCCTCCCATAACAGCTGCACGCCAGATGAAAAGACTCACGTACACAGACGTTATCTGCGGGACAATGTTCACGCAGGCGGCCAGCTTCTTCTGTACAACACCCCTGAGGAATCAAACAGAGCAAGAAATGTCAATGTTCATTGTGCACCGCAAAGTGGGAATTGCTTCAGTCAATTGCTCCAAGTTCAATTTGTAATGGGATTTGTAATGGGATCAAGAGGGCTTGTTTGACTAAATAAATTAGTGGTTTACTTCTAAATTGGCATTTTTTTTCTTGCCAAGCAATTGCTGTGCTTAAAAAAAGGGTTGCACAGTTTAGAAGAATAAAGGGGAAGATTTCATTGAAACCTATAAAATTCTAATAGGACTAGACAGGGTAAATACAGGAAGGATGATTAGGGAGTCCAGAACCAGGGGGTCACAGTTTAAGGATACCGGGTAGGCCATTCAGTACTGAGATGTGGAGACACAGAGCGACAGCCTGTGGAATTCACTACGACAGAAATTTGTTGAGGCCAAAACAGTGATTGTTTTCAACAAGGAATTAGATATAGTTCTTATATCTGAAGTGATCGAAGGGTATGGGAAGATGAGCCACGATCATATGGAACGGTGGAGGAGGTGCGAAGGGCCGAATGGCCACTCCTGCTCCTATTTTCAATGTTTCACTGTTTACAACGCAGCAGGTCCCATGGTTTTAATTCTCTGCCATACTTTGCAAAGTATGATATGAAGTCCAATAAAAGAGAGAATTAATTTATGTTCTACAAAAAGTTTCAGTTTTTGGGTGGGGAGTGGGTTGTGAGAGTGTGTTGCTTCAAGACAAGCAATGTGCTTTTGAAGCGTATCTGCTTCATGTGCAGCAGCCAAATTTCCCACAGCAAGCCCCAGAAACAATACTGAGTCAGAGAGAGGGGAATGGGTGTGCCAGGGTGAGGGTAAATCTGTTTTAAAAGGGGGTCTGAAAAAAGAAATGGAGGGCAGGATACACAGTTTCCCAGAAAGAAGTGGGCAATTGCGACCTCGAGGATTCTGTTCGGGACATCTCAACGTTTCAGTGGTTTTGGTCCAGGACTGGAGAGAGTGGGGTGTCTAATGGTGCAGGTAATTTTGAACTAGGAGTCATAGAGATTAATTCTGAGGATCAAAAGAATCCGTAAGGGGCTATGGATAAGATGGCCAAGAGAGACATGCGGGGTTCAAAGTCAGGAAAAATGAGAAGATATATCAGAGTTAAAAAGGGAGTAGGGATTAAATGGTTACTTAGTGACGTAAGAATTGAGTATTATTATGGAGAAAAAAAGTGCTGTTGAAGTTTTTTTATCTTGCACTCATCACAACACCATCGCAAGAATATCAGATCTCAAAGAGAACAATAATTACTAGTGCACAAGAAGAGGATGTTGATTGGTTGGGAAGTGGACTGTGATAGGTAAAGGTGTTGCCATGGTGCATGCAAATGTAACAGAGTAATCAAACCAGGCAAGCTGACACTGACTGAGCAAGGTATTGCCATGCAGCGGGCCCAGGAAAGGGCTGCCTCCATTTTTATTCAGTTTGCCACGGAGCAATGCCTAATCACATTCTTCCTGTTTGCAAAGGACAGGGCCCCTGAGTGTGAATATGTGCAACTTCTATATGAGCCACATTAGTCTTAAAATTGATTGTTAGTGTAATTTGTAATAGTCTGGATTGTTGAGCAAGTGATTTTCCATTGCAGAATCACATTTAATATCGGACACTAAGCTCCGAGCTTTGGCAGCCCAGGCTGGTTGAATATGGTAAGTTCTCTGCCTGACGTGATTGCTTATTGTTTTATACATTCCACCAGCCACTGGGACATATAGCCTATGTATCTGGCATCATGTCAGCACTGAAACTCATACACCAGATTACTAATTTCGGAGAGAAGCAGAACATTTTATTTTGGTTTGATGGCTTGATCTTGCTTGTGGAGAATACCGCTCCATACTGCTAATAGATCATAGCAGCATGAAATGGCTAGCTGCACCCAGTATATTTGTGAGATTGGCTTGTTGAACGCAAGACGGAAAGTTACAACAGCACATGAAGCAAACAAAAAAGGTGCACTGAGTTGTGTTCTGGGATGCATGGACTGAAAGAGCAGTGGAAGTGAATTTAATAGTAACTTTCAACAGGCATTTGGAACAATAATCATAAAATCCCTGTGCGGAAACAGGCCATTCAGCCCATCAAGTCCACACTGACCGTCCAAAGGCCATCCCATCCTTCCCCTTTAACCTCACATTTCCAATGGCTAATCCATCTATCCTGCACATTCCTGGACACTATGGGGTAATTTAACACGGCCAATCCACCTAACCTGCACTTTTCTGGACTGCGGGAGCAAACTGGAGCTCCTGGAGGAAACCGGAGCTCCCAGAGGAAACCCACGCAGACACGGGGAGAATGTACAAACTCTACACAGACAGTCACCTGAAGCTGGAATTGAATCTGGGCCCCTGGCGCTGTGAGGCAGCAGTGCTAACCACTGACCCACAGTGTCAATTGAGGGAAAAAATATTGCTAGGTACCATGAAAGAGTGTGAGATGGCAATAAGGTCTTATATACGTACCTTACAGCTGGCACACCCAAGACCGAATGGCTTCCCATGCAGGATGAATCTATGAAGTTACTTGACTGGTTACGGTGGTCGGGATGGGGGCAGGGTTAAAGTGTTTAAAACCAGCTGCATAGCCCTGTACACAGACTCATCCGCAACTTAAACACAAGAACTGGAAAACCATGGACAGTCAGTCTCACCGAGCAATGTCTTTAGCAACCTCCATGTTGGGGCAGGTAATGAAGGCCGCAGAGTGGGTTCCAGACACGTAGGTTTCCGTCGCCATGGAGAACAGTCTCAATCCCACACTTCTCAGGCCAGAGAACATCAACAGTGTGAACAGCAGAGCCTACAGGACAGAAGAGGACAAGGGAAATCAGCAGACTTATCTTCATACACTGTACCATCTGAAGTACTGTGAGTTACAGGAGTGCACAGACTCTTTCCTCTTTACAACTTCTGAAAGGTTAAGGACATCTGCAGGCCATTCGCACCTAACACCTTGTACAATGGGTGAATGTGAGGTGCCAGTTTGGGGAGAGCATATCACATTCGTTCATGGGAACGGAGAAGCAAAAACAAAGTATTACACCTGAGAAGCACTGACGCTTAGTTTGGGTTCTATCAGGACCACTCAGCTCCTGACCTCAACACAGCATTGGTTTAAACGACTAAAAAAATGAATAACAGAGGAGAGGCACAGGTAAAAGACAGCCCTTGACATCACATAATCCCTACAGTGTGGAAGCAGGCCATTGAATTCACACCAACCCTCCAAAGAGCATCCCATCCAGACTGACCCCACTACCCTATTCCTGTAACGCTGTATTTCCCATGGCCAATTTTTGGACTGTGGGAGGAAATCGGAGCACCCAGAGGAAACCCATGCAGACACAGGGAGAATACGCAAACTCTACACAGACAGTCGCCCAAGGATGGAATTGAATCCTGGTCCCTGGTGCTGTGAGGCAGCAGAGCTAACCACTGTGCTACAGTTGACCAAGCATGGCATCAAAAAGCCCAAGCAAGGCTGAAATTAATGGGAATCAGGGGAATCCTCTCTAGTGGCTGGAGTCATACCTAGCAAAAAGGAATATGGTTATGAGTTCCTCAGGGTATTACCATCGGACCAAACATCTTCAATTGCTTCATCAATGAATTTCCCTCCATCATAAGGTCAGAAGTGAAATGCTGACTGATAATTGAACAATGATCAGCACCGTTCATTCACAACTCCTCAGGATACTAAAGCAGTCCATTTTCAGATGCAGCAAGGTCTGGACAATATCAAGTTTGGGCTGACAAATGGTAAGCAACATTCATGCCACTCAAATGCAGGCAATAGGCAAGAGAAAATCTAACATCAGCTTTGGCATTACCACTATCAATAACATTCTGGGGGTTATCACTGACCAATAGCTGAACTGGACTGGCTGTATAAACACAATGGCTACAACAGCAGGTCAGAGGCTAAGACTCCTGCAGTGAGTAACTCACCTCCTGACACCCAAAGCCTGTCCACGATCTACAAGACCCAACTCAGGGAGTGTGAAGGAACATTCCCCACTTGCTTGGATGAGTGAAACTCCAACAGCACAAAGGAAGCTCACTTGACTGGCACCACATTCACACAATCCACCGCCAATGCACAATAGCAGCAGTGTGACCCATTTACAAAATACACTGGAAGTTCACCAAGGTTCTTTAGACAGTACTCTCCAAACCCAGGACTATTATCATCTAGAAAGTCAAGGGTTACAGAAGCATCGCCAACCCCTGCGAATTCTTTTCTAAGCCCTCACCACCCTTTGGAAATATATTGCCATTCTTTCATGGAATCCTGGAATTCCCTCCCGAAGGACATTATGGGTCTATCTGGAACACATGGGTTGCAGCGGTTCAGAAGGTGGCTCACCACCATCCCCTCAAGGGCAACTGGGTATGGGCAATAAATACTGGCTCAGCCAGCAATGCCCACATCTCATGAATCAATAAAAAAATTTGGCATGTTACATTCATGTGGGTGAGGAATGTGCATAAGCACACTCACCCTTAAAAGGAGGAAGCTGGTCTACATCTGACTCACTGGGCACAGAGCTAGGAGGGTGGTGAAAGTAGGGCTGACATTTGTCTTTCTCTCACATGTATACACAGACACAGACACACACACACACACACACACAGAAAAGTTGCTTAGATTTATTCATGATTGTGTTAGATTTTTGATAGACAAAAGAGTCGAGGGTTATAAGGTAACGACAAGAAGGTAGAGCTAAGACCATATCAACCATAATCTTGCTGAATGGTGGAGCAGATTTGAAGGGCTGAACAGCCTAATCCTGCTCCCACATTCCAAGACAGAGAATTAATGCAGAGGTTGGGAAACAAAATGCTTCAAACCCTGTCCGGCATCAGTTCCAGAGACTGAGCAGTCAATAAGCCTCATGAGAACGCAGCAGTCAGCTACGATCAACGGCGAGTAATCACTCTGTCCAGCAGTGACATTCAATCAAGCAGTTCACACCATCTTCAGGGCCCAGGGGCCTTCAATTATTTAATGAGCAATTAAGCACTACAACAGTGAGTGCAGGTGGCATGCATACAAACTGCTAACTCAGATCAGAACGAAAATAACAGGAACACCCCACCCCCACACACGCACACTGGCAAATTTACACTCAAGGTCAGTAAAATCAACCCATTCATTCCCAGTGCACCTGGTTTGCCCACTAATCTGACCTGGCCAGTCGATCGCTGAACTACACCCTGTTCTACTCCCCCTAATGCCTCTGGGAGTACTTTATGTTGAGGAGGTTCTGGCTCTGTTTGAATAGCTTGTTTCCCTACTGCCCAGAAGCACATCTTTTCAAACCCAGATATAGCATTCAACAAACTCTCTCTCGTCATCCAAATAGCTTAGGGAACAATCCTGACAGCCCCATCCCCATCAACATTTATGTTCACCTATGGTTAATTTCATGAAAAGTTGCTGAAATCAAATCAATCTCAAAAGAGTTGATTCAATCACAGGAACAGGACCTCTCTTCTTAGCCATACTCACACCACTCTCTTCTCTCTCTCTTTCTCGGGTGTCAGCCATGGCTTTGTTGGTTGCACCCTCCCCTCTTCCAACGGAAGACTGGTTTCAAGTCCCACTTCAGAGACTGCAACCTACAATCTGTGCTAACATGCCCAGTGCAGGACCGAGGGAGCTCTGCACTGTCAGAGGTGCTGCCTGCTGGATGAGACGTTGAACTAACTGCCGTCCTGGGTGGATGGGAAGATCCCATGACATTATTCAAAGAGCAACAGAAAAGACACTCTGGCAAATATTAATCCCTCATGAACACACTCACGAAATCTGATCATTACTGCTTAATGGAACATGCTCTCTGCAGATTGGCTGCCTCAGTTCCAACATTACCACGAGTAACTATATTCCAACTGTACTGTAAATGGCTGTGTTCCTTCCAAATTTCTCTCAAAATGCACGGGTATCCTTGACCTGTGCGCGGTAGAGTCTTCTGAAAATGAAAGTTAATGCCGCGATTAGTCCAACACATTGGAGTAACTGCACATACACGCAGCTTCCAGGGAACGTTGGCTGTAAAGCAATTTGGGATGCCCTGAGGTTGTGAAAGGTGCTAAACAAATGCAAGTCCTTGTTTCTGTCTCCTCCCAACTTCCTAAGGAGTAATGTGACTAGGTCATCTCGTCCACACCACGCTACTGCTCCACACCCAATCGCCTCAAAACAATGCGCAAAGTCATGTTCACGTTTTTAGTGATCACTTCCCCTTCTCCCAAGTTCCATGCTGGTTCTCTGAATGGCTGCACTCTAACAGTTACAGACTGAAGCAAGAGAAATCCAGACCCGAGTCACTGCTGATTTTAAAAATATAACGCTTACACTTATTTAACCGTCATTGACTAGTTTATTTCAAATAAACAGGTCTCTTATTGGGACTACAAACACATTAAAAAATTGCAGTATGTACAGCACAGAAACGGGCTGGGATGTATTGATATTTATACTGTCACCCCTTTTCAGTACCTCCTATTCCTTCCTCATGTAGCTGTGTGCCTTCAAATTTAATCAAGGCTAATCGCCTCAACCACAATCACCTGACAATAAAGGCAAGCAGACCAAATGCCTTCTTCACTCTTCATAGAATCGTAGTACGGAAACAGGCCATTTGGCCCAACAAGTCCACATCACCCCTCCGAAGAGCATCCCACCCAGACCTATTCCCCTACCCCTGTATTTCCCATGTCTAACACACCTAACCTAAACATCCCTGGGCATTATGGGCAAGTTAGCATGGCCAATCCACCTACCCTGCACATCTTTGGACTATGGGAGGAAACCAGAGCACCCGGAGGAAACCCATGCAGACACGGGGAGAATGTGCAAACTCCACACAGACAGTCGCCGGAGGCTGGAATCAAACCCGGGTCCCTGGCACTGTGAGGCAGCAGTGCTAACCACTGAGCCACCGTGCTGCCCTTAAAATCTTCACTATCTACAGGATTTTGCAGGATTTGAACCCACAGCCCCACAGTTTTAGCCTAGGATCCTGGCATTATTAGTCCAGGGCCATTGCCACTACACCAGCTACCCACCACAATCTCCCCCACATTTCTTATTTTTGTATTTATGGTTGACCATTTTATGTTTATAGTCCCTAATTTTGGTATCCCCTGTTGAAAAGTGGAGGTATCTGTCCCCAGCAGGGACAACTGAATGCTTTCAGAATTTTAAAAGGCTCACTTGTCAGCTTTCCCTTCCAGGGAAGTGTTCGTTGAGAGACGGTGAAGTGGAGGGAGGGGTGTACGGAAATAGGAGGCACTGTTTAGTTTTGTCCCCGAGTTTGAGAGAGGAGATAAGTGTATCACAGTATAAAAGGGAAAAGGAAAGAACTTACAAGCATCGTGGCTCTGAAGGGGCTGTGTTTGAGGCTTAGTCTCACGCTGCCCAGCAGCTGACTGAAGTCACGCATTCCCCTGTGCAGACAGACACCAGAGAAGAGGTGTTGGAAACAGGCACCGACAGAACTCTCTTATAGAACAGCAGGCGCACGGAAGGAGTGCTGCAGTGTCGGATGTGCCATCTCTCAGTAGAGATGTTACACCAAGGGTCTGTCTGGCCTCTCAGGTGGATGGACACGATTCCACCACAACGTTCTGCAGAAGATGTCGGGGCTTTCTCACCAGTATATGGTCAATATTTATCACAAAAACAGAGTTCCTGGTCATTATCGTACTGTTGTCTGTGGCAGCCTATTGTGACACACTGCAACAGCAGCTACTCTCCGCAAAAGTAATTCATCAGTTGTAAAGCATTTTAGGAACATACTACTTAGCAGCAGGAGTAGACCGCTTGGCCCTTCAAGCCTGCCCTTCAATTCGATAAGACCATGGCAGATCTGACTGTATGCTGCCTAAAACCCTCGGTACCCTGTCCATGAAAACTCTAACTGAGCTGTGAAAGTACTTGATAATTCCACCTCCATTGCTTTCTTCAGGAAGGGAATTTCTCAAAAAAACGACACCTTGGAGAGAGACAAAGAAGTCCTTTCGATCTCAAAAGGGAGACTTCTTACTCAAACTGCATTCCTCAATTCTAGTCTTCCCCACAAGGGAACATATTGGGAGGCAGTGGTGTAGTGGTAATGTCACTGTACAGGGAAAACTAGAGCTTGTGATCTGGGGACACGCGTTTGAATCTCACCATAGCAGACAGTGAAATTTGAATTCAATAAAAATCATGTAACTATGGCCAACCGTCATTAAAAGAAGAACCCATCTGGTTCACTAATGTCCTTTAGTGAGTGAAATCTGCTCCCATCACTGATCTGGCCTAGATGTGATACCAGACCCACAGCAATGTAGTTGACTCGAAAATCAGGGATGAACTGTAAATGCTAGCCTAACTGGCAACGCCACGAACCACGAACGCTGATGGATGGGACAGCATCGTGGCTGTGAGAGCTACTCCCTTTTTTTCAGGTTTTCTTTTCAGTGCTGGAGTTGATTTCCACGATTTTTTTGCAGCAGTAATTGGCGTTTTCTAAGTTTTTGTTTTGTTTTTGAAACTTTAAAATAAAAGATCAAAAACAACAATACTTTAAACAGTAGGAGAGAGAGCAGGAGTTTCACAGCAGACGATGTTGGAGGTCAGAGGACTGCCCTAAGGTTCATCAAAAAGACTCTAAGGGGCAACTTTTCACGCAGTGGGTGATGCGTGTATGGAATGAACTGCCAGAGGAAGTGGTGGAGGCTGGTACAATGACAACATTTAAAAGGCATCTGAATGGGTATATGAAAAGGAAAGGTTTAGAGGGATATGGGCCAAATGCTGGGAAATGGGACTAGATTACTTTAGGATATCTGGTCGGCATGGACAAGAAGGATCTTTTTCCATGCTGTCAAGCGCTATGACACTAAGTTTAAAAAAATATCCTCCCAGTCAAGTCCCCTCGGTGTCTATGGTTCTTTGATAAGCACTGAGTCATGAAAGACACAGGACAAATGCAAGTCTTCATTTGATTCTTTCATTCATTTGGATAGTGATCGGCTTATGTTGAGAGATGACAATGAAATGAATGACCAGTTGGACTGTCTGTTTTTAACTGACCAGGATACCGACCAAGCTTTGAACTTCGATTTTGTTTTATATCTAACTTGAAGAGGCTGACAGGACGCTGGTTTAGCAGCTCATCCAGCCCTCTCCTGGCATGAAGATGAAGTGATGGCCTGGACTGTCTACTCAAGTCCTCGAGTGGGACTCAAAATCACGAACTTCTGTTTCAGAAAGTTACACTAGAAACTGGCCTTTATATTGTCCAGAATACTGAAAGCGAGTTGTCTGACCAGTAGAGAACACATAATATAGAAGATATGCTCCAGACTATACAAGATAAAGGGGTGATCCAATGGAGGTGTTTAAATTGATTATGGGAATCAAAAGGGTTTCCGCTAGTGTGAGGCATCCAAAATCAGGGGTACCATCTTAAAATTGGAGACAGGCTAATCTTCGACAACATCCAGGCCTGAGCTGATAGTGTTGTAAATAGCATTCATGCCACATAAATCCAAGAAAAAAACCATCAGACAGAATCTAACCTTCTCCCCTTGACATTCAATGGCATGACCAATGCTGAATCTTCCACTATCAACATCCTGGGGGCTGCCATTGACCAGAAACTGAACTGGACTAGCCGCATAAATGCTGTGATTACATGAGCAAGTCTGAGGTAGGAACTCTGCAGCAAGTAACTCACCTCCTGAAACTCAAAACGCCTGTCCACAAACTACAAGGCACTTGCCTGGATGAGTGCAGCTCCAACATCACCCATAAAGCTTGTCACTATTCAGAACAAAGCAGCCTGCTTGGTTGGTACCACATCCACTAACTTAAACATTCATTCACTCCACACAGTGGTAGAAGTTTGTACCACTTACAAGATGCACTGCGGTAACTCATCAAGGCTCCTTCGACAGCACCTTCCAAACCCATTGACATCTAGCACCTAGAAGAACAGGGGAGCAGATGTATGTTTCGCTGCAAGTCACTCATCGAGTCATACAGCATAGAAACAGACCCTTCAGTCCAACCAGTCCATGTTGACCATAATCCCAAACTAAACTAGTCCCAACTGCCTGTGCTTGGCCCATATCCCTCCAAATATATCTTATTCATGTACTTTTTTAAATGTTCTAACTGTACCCACATCACCACTTCCACTGGAGGCTCATTTCCACACACAAATCACTCTCTGTGTAAAAAAGTTGCCCCTCATGTCTTTTTTAAATCTTTCTCCTTTCACCTTAAAAATATGCCCCCTAGACTTGAAATCCCCCACCCTAGAGAAAAGATGACTGCCATTCACCTTACCTATACCCCTCATGATTTTATAAACCTCTATAGGGTCAACCTTCAACTTCCTCAACTCTAGTGAAAAAAGTTCCTCTCCTCAAAACTCAAACCCTCCATTCCCGGCAGCATCCTGGTAATTTTTCTTCTAAATCCTGTCCAGCTTAATGATATCCTTCCTAGAAGAGGCCTCACCAACGTTGTCTAAACCTCAACTTAATTGGAACTGTATCACATTCCTTCACTATTGCTGGGTCAAAATTCCTGGAACACCCTCCCTAATGACAGTGTGGGTTGACCTACAGCGCACGGACTGCAGTGGTTCAAGAAGGCAGCTCACTAACACCTTCTCAAGGGCAACTAGAGATGCGCAGTAAACACTGACCTAGCCACAGCAGCCAGGTCTCATAAATGAATTTTTAAGGAGGGGAAATCTGAAACTCCCTCTCCAAACAATTTAAGGGTCAGCAGAAGACTCCCAAGATTGAGTTTGACAGATTTTTGTTGAGCGAGGGTATGAATGGATGTGGAACCACACTGTGTTAATGGAGTTAAGATACAAATCAGCCAGAATATAATTGAAAGACAGGGTAAACTGAAATAGTCTGCTCCTATTTCTCTGCCAAAACTCAGCTGTTCATTCCAGATTAGGAGTTGGGAAATTAAGAATTGAAATTGACTAATTGTTAGTAGCAATCCATAAAACCATAAGCTCAGAACCAAAGGTACTAATTGAAATTAACAATTAAAACAAGACACCAACAAGGTTGCTAAAGAGGGGATGACGACCTCCAGGAAGCTGCTCTAGTTTATTCACATCATAATGGGAAGTATTCATTCACAAAACCAAAACAACAGGAGCCATGCGGAACGCCACTAGACCTCCAACCTGAAAAACACTTTCCATTACTACCCTCGGACTTCTCTGGGCAAGCTAATTCTGAATCCACGCAGCCAAGTCACCGTGAATCTCATGCATCTTCATCTTCTGGATAAGCCTACCGTGAGGGACCTTGTTGAAAGCCTTACTAAACTCCATGTAAACAATACCCACTGCTCTACTCATCTAACACCTTTGTCAGCTCCTTGAAAAATTCAATCAAGTTAGTAAGACATGACCTGTCCTGCACAAAGCCATGCTGACTGTCCCTAATTAGGCCATGCTTTTCGAAGTGCGTGTAAATCCTATCCCTAAGAAAAATTCTCTCCAACAGCTTCCCAACCACCAATGTGAGACTCACCAGTCTATAGTTTCCTGGATGATCCCTATTTCCCTTAAACAGAAGAACAACATTAGCTACTCACCAGTCCTCTGGGACCTCTCCAGTGGCTAGCAAGGATACAAAGATCTTGGTCAAGATCCCAGCAATCTCCTCTCTTGCCTCTCTCAATAACCTGGTGTAGATACCATCGGGCCCTGGGGACTTATCCACCTTAATGCTCTTCAAGAGACCCAACACTACTTCTTTCTTGATCTCAAAATGCCCTAGCATATAGTATGTTCCACACAAATCTCACTATGCTCCATATCCTTCTTCTGGATGAATACCAACACAAAGTACTCATTTAGGATCTCACTAACATCCTCTGCCTCCAAGCCCAAGTTCCCTCCTTTATCCTTGAGTGGTCCTAGTTATCCTCTTGTTTTTAATGTATGTATAGAATGCCTTTGGATTCTCTTTAACCCTTCTTGCCAAGGTCTTTTCATGGCCCTTTCTTGCTCTCTTAATTCCCTGCTTGAGTTCTTTCCTGTTTACTATAGCAAAAGGATATGGCAGCATTGCAGAGCAGCTATTGAAGTAATGAAACCCAGAAACAAGACAGAATGTACAAATATTTTGTTAAAAAGCAGACAATAAGGTCAAAGGGAGGAAAGAATGGCAAAAAGGAAAAGTTAATGGCTCTTCATTTAAATGCACGTAGTATTCAATGCACAATAAATGAAATAGACATCAACGGGTACGATGTTGCAGCCATTATGGAGACATGGCTACAAGGAGATCAAAACTAGCAACTAAATACTCAGCGGTACGTCACTTTTAAAAAGGACTGGCAAGAAGGGAAGGTATTGGAGGTATCTTTGTTAGTGCTGAATAGAATGGGTGTGAAAGCAAGAAATGATCT